GCCAGTGTAACGAATACTTTGAGGATCTCCTTAATTCAGCTGACACACCTGTGGTGGAAGACCACAGCTCACCTTCCAACTTTGTACGGTAGCTGCATATAGCAGCAAGTATGGGCACAATGGCAAGTATGGGTACAATGATTGGTTTCCTTCCTGGAAACAACACAGAGGTAAGAGTATGGTGACATGTGGCTTAGATCTCAGAGGTCAGACATCCTCATAGACATTTTACCAGATACCTGCTGAAGTGTTCCAGATATCTCAATTCTGGTAAGAGCTTAAGTTCTCTTTGTTGGTAGATTATGTCTGGGTCGCCTCATATCAGCCATGGGATAGCTGTGTTTCTACTTGACTCTCAGTTTAATAGAAGTAAGTCAACCTAGTTTAGGTGAATTTAATGTTTCATAGAGACATAGATCAATGAGCTTAGATATATGTCTGCTCAGCCAGTGACTGAAGAAGCTACAGAAAAATATTTGTCCATTCATTACAAACCAGCAATGTGTCCAAGACAGAAAGCAGGACCTCCAGCTTTGTTGTGTTTTTTTTCTTTTTTTATTGGAAATTGTTCTATTATGTAGGGGGTTATTCTGTGAGTGACAGACCTTCTCCTTAAGGTCTGCCTTTGTGACCACAATCTCCTCGGTGTGGACAATCTGGCTGTTGCTCCTCAGTCCACGACCCTCTTTGTCAGTGATCTTTGATATCAGCAGACAGCCATCTTCAGACACGCTCAGCAGGAACTGATCGTCGTATGTTATCACCATCTGAAGACATACTCATTCATCACACAGCACGATGGTTAGAAGGTCAGTAGTTTACATACCCTGCTGGACACAAACCTAATTTAAATCAATTGCAAGAAGAAAAAAAAGACTGTAATTTACGCTGGTGGTAATGAGACTCGCCAATTGGAGGTCACTAAAATTTGTGTTGCTTTAGTTTGCTTCAGTGTTATTAACCCGCAAGCCATGGGTTGGAGGCCGAAGCAAGCTGCGACACCGCCACACCAACCCATCTCGTTCCTGCTTCGAGCCCGGCCAGCCGCACCCGGACCAGACCACCCCCAGTAAAAGCTTCCCCGGGATTGGGGCCCACATGCCCCCCGCAGGCCACCCAACCAGAGGCCCCCCACCTCCCCTAACTACTTCAACCAGCCACTCACGCCCTCTCTCCAACATCCTTTGGGGTAGAGCAGAAGTGAAAGCCCCGCCACTGGCAGTCCACCTAGGCCCCGCAGCTGCCCCCGCCAAGACCACAGACCAGACGGTTGCTCTTCCTCCAGTCCCTAGACTCCAGGTGGCAGCCGGAGAACAGGTGTGTGAGAAGACCCCAATCCTCCCTGCGCCTGCTCGAATGTGGTGTTGTTGGCTGTTGCTCTCAGATGTAATTAAAACTGGGAGTACCAAAAGGGGGTGTCCAGCACAGTCCACCCCCCCTCTGGAAGACAGACGGTGCCAGCACCCCCCGCCCATCGACAACCCAGAACCCTCAATGTCTAAATGCGAGACGGGATGGGGGGAGCCCATGAGGCCCATAAAATAAGCCCCCCCCGGTGCCCTTGACCCCCACACCCCCAGAAAATGCCCTACATAGATGTGTGTTGTGAAAATGTTGTAGATGGAAGTGTCTAAAATGCAAAATAAAATTGAGGTGGGGGACATCATCAGAGAGTTGGGCCCTCCAGTAACGACCCCCTCCTCAAGAACCTACATGTGTGGCTGTGTGATGGAGCAGTGAGAGGGAGGATTCCAGGGATGGGGAGCAAAGGACTCGGGTGCTTACTGCACTCCCAGGGATCCAGCTCCCCCGCTGACTCCGAGAGCCCCAGCGGAAAGGGGGACCCACCAGTCGTACCACCATAGCCCTTGGGCCAGGGACCGGCAGCAGGGCCCACAAGCTAGCCGGTCACCAGGGCCGACACTGCCACCCCCCCATCCTGTCCATCCAAAGAAAGAAAAAAAAAAAGGGGCAGACAACTCTAGCCGGCCAGCACACACCATGCAGAACCCCCACCCCGGACGAAGCCCCCACCAGTGGACGGCACGGAGCAGGACCGAGACCCGAAGCCCTTCTAACATCCATATCCCACCACCACCCTCCGCCCCCCCATCGGAGATGTGATTCATCCCCTACATCAACATTCAAACCACTCACTACACAAGCGAACAAAGGCATCCAGGATGGGATCATTCCCACTCCCCCTCCCTCCCCTTCCCCCACTAGCAGGTGCAAACCCCTGTAGGGGTAAGCATCTGCCATAAGGTATTAATGTCCGTGTCCACCCACCAGCTCAACAGGCCCCGAGGCCCCCCAGCACACCAGAGGCCCCGGCAGGGCCGGACGGCCAGGAGTACACTGGCCCAGACCCCAAGCAGCATTCCCCACAGAACCCAAACCCCCGACGCCCTGCCGGGGCCCCCGCCCGAGGGCAATGCGCCCCAGGGACCCCAGACCTCCGGACCCACCCAGTAGCAGCATAGCTACCAGGCCAGTAACCCATTTCCGCCGAGGGCACCAGTATATGATCCAAGGCTCTGGCATATGATCTGTATGGTCCAAGGTTGGGAACAACACTGTGAAGAACATTATAGAGAAGCCCACGGGTTGCACGCCTAAGTGGTTCACTAGAGGAAGATAAAAGGGGTTTGGAGACGGTCACCCGGAGGAGTGTCCCCCTGCTCTGAACTCATCCTAGGGCACAGAATAAAGTCAATAAAGAGCATCATAGTTGAGATTAATCCATTTGTTCCAAATCCTCCTATTGCTATAGCTGAAGGGCATGCATTCCAATAATTTTCCCTAGGAAGGAGAAGTAGATGAGAGATTTAACTGGATGGGCCCAATGTTGATGTATTCCAATCAGACCTGTGGCCTTCCTAAAGAAGTTGGGAAGACCTGAAGAAAGAAAGGTCATGAACAAGCATTTTATTAGTACAAGAGGCTGGTCAATTCTGTGTTTGCTGTGGTTGTAGAGGAAGTAACAGAATTTATACAACAGAGAATATCAATCATTGAGCTGCTTGATATTATAGCTAGGACTTGGCTATATCGGTTAACTGCCTTGGGTGCTGTCATAGCCGCGATTTTTTGTAAGTTGTTGTAGTGGAACAATTGTTTAAGGCTTGGTGTCGCCCCAAGGGAAGGGGCTACAAGCGCCCCCAGGGGAGGGCCTTGATGGGGTATAAGGTCTTGGTGCTCTAGGCAGTTCAGTCATTTTGGGTTCCGGGTTCCTAAGACAGCAAATTATATTAGATACCACACCCCCTCCAACTCAATGGCACAGATTGAGCCTCTCAAAAGGAATCCCCTGGAGATTTATGCAATGTTAGCTGCATGGTTCTGTGACTGCCACATTGGCTACTGGTTGGTTGTTGATGAGCTGTCTAGCTTAATTCCCTTTATATGAACCGTCTTCCTCACCAACGTGGTCGTCCTAGTTTATATCAAGGTCTATAATAGCTCTGAGATGTTTTAAACATTTTGAAGCAGCCTAAAACAACACATTAATATTTTTTCTAGCTTAAAAACCTTATTTTTCTCTGATACGGTCACACATCTTCCTGTCCAACAACCTGAACTATCCCTTTGATCTATCAATCAAAGCGCTGAAAGGAGAAGAAAATCTTTAGCGCTTGGACTCACCCTGGTGACACGTCCACTGTGAGCTTGCTGTGTCATCCATTCCTTCTGAGCGGGTAATGGGTATTTAATCGCTCTAATAGTTCCACTTGAGGTACCAGTGAAGACAACCCTTCCAGAGTGAGACACTGCAAGGGCGGTGTGGGCTATGTCATCAGGAGGGACCTCTCTCAGTACCTGTGGAACCAGTTACCATGACTTTTATTTCAGACCTACAGGTTGGACTTAAATGTTCTGGCTTAAAGCTATGGTGGAGGATGTTCTTTTCTGGGTGGATCATCTCAATTCCTCCCAACTGTCAATCATTCTGGTGATATGTTTACCTACAGTACAGCATAAACATATCACCAGATATGTTTACGTGCTCCTCCCATTTTCACTTACCGCTGGTGAGTCTGACATAGTGGAAAAATTGCAAATCTTCTTTTGGAAGATAGCAAACCGCAACTTTTAAACAGGTGTTGGAACACACTTGTTCAATAGGCGTTTTAAATTGGAAAAGGTAGGTCTTTTAAAAAATTCACGAAAATCCTCCACTATACCTTTAATTTCTTTCAAATAAATCTTGTAATAGTTCAACTGGCCTGACAGTCCTGTATCTCCCTCAGGGTGCGGTCTGTTCCTACCGCTAGTATGGTCTTGTAGTCTGAGGAGAAAGCTAGATCTGTGTAGCTGCAGGACTTGAGGACACTCTCAGACTCCTGCCTCCCGGTCTGTGTGTTCCACTCATACACAGCGCCATCTGTCCCACAAGATGCCAACCGGCTGTCATCCAGGCTCCACTCGATTCTCCACACCTTACCAAAAGAATTTCCAAATATTTAACCAATCGCACAGATAGCTTTAGGTCTGAGAGGGGTCTATTGGGTCACCTACCTTTCCCATATGGCCCTTCAGATTGAGAGTATTTTCAAAAGAGGTGAAAGAGTAGATGTGGATGACATTTCCATTAACAGCTGCAAACATGTGGCCACCATGGCTAAAAGCACACTAAACATTGGAGGAGACAAATTAATAAGATGAGAAAAGAACCGACTGATTTCAGTTTCATGCAGTGAACACCATCACCTCTCTGCAGCCATTCAGGGAGAACTCTTTAAAGGTCCGGATGTCATCTATAAACACATTCATCAGCCTGAGTTTGTTGGAAAAGCCCACCAAGATGAAGAGACCTGTGGGGTGCAAAGCTACGCTGAAGGCCTCTTCTTGGAACTCCTTGGACACCTCTAGATCTCTGCAGATAATTTAGGGAAAACAGCAGGGTTATCTGCTCTGGTAGCACATCCTGTGACCATCTACACTATCTTCATCTATTGGTAGAGTTTTTGGTGTATTAGCACATTACAGCAGGGTATGTAGAACCAAACTGGTTATGATGTGGACAGTTTGACATGTTACAACCACAGGCTTGTCTTCATTTCATCGGGATATTCCGGGACAAAGTCGAGCACCGGTTTCAAACAAAATAGGCCCCAGTCAGTGATACACTCACTGAGAAGCCCACTCTGGTGATTGGCAGCTCCATAGTCAGAAACGTGGCATTAGAGACACCAGGGACCGTAGTCAAATGTTTGCCGGGGGCCAGAACGGGCGACATCAAATCCTACCTGCCTTTGGGGCAGGTGGGCTCTCCTCATCCTCTGCAGGAAGTCCAAGCACTTCTGGGCCTTTTTGACCAGTGAGGTGGTGTTTCCATTCCAGGTAAGGTTCATGATAATATATCCATATATATTAATTATATGCTGGATCAAGGAGGTAAAATTGCACACCAGCTGAACATCAGGCTGTCAGAGAGCCCGTCTTTTTCAAACCTCTTTATATTCAGCCTTCCTGATATTAGTCATTCTGGTTCCCAAACAGAACGACTCCTCAACTGTTGAAATATAAACACTTGCATGAAAACTTTTCCCTCACTAAAAATTCTTTGTAATGGAGACTTTATAATCAATATTTGGCATGTATGAATTGGTTTTATTGTGAAAGCTCTAGAAGTTTTTCCTGTAATGTTTTTTTTAAATAATAAAATAACAAGTCATTATTGTTACCACAATTTTACAACAAAATAATTAGACTCCAAATTAAACAAAACAAGTGAACTGCATGCTATCCATTAACTTTATGACTTGTGTTAAGTCTGTAGTCCCAGAAAATCACAGCAAAACACTGCAGTCTGTGGTTGAAACAGGACATCACCTTCAACAGGTATAGCTGCCCAAAGTGCTTTACAAGCAAGTTTTCAGGTTCCACCCTGAACCGACAAAAAATAGGAACAAAATATGTCAAAGAAAGATGGAAACAAGGAAAGGCTGCATATATTGTAGTTCCTACTTGGTCTCGTAGTTCCAGATCCGTACAGAGCGGTCTAAGGAGCTGGTGGCCACAAGCGGCTTCCGGATGCAGATGGACAAACCAGTGATGGTGTTGGAGTGAAACGGCGAGGACAAGAAGTCAAAGTGTAGCAAACCCTCCTGATGGACACAGCAAAATTTACATCAACTTACAGTTTGAATCCAAGACAAAAGCTGCAGTTCTACCAGCATCAACACTGTAACCATGGTGACAGAAGCTGCAGATAGACATCTCTCTGCACTGGTCGCTCGTTCCGAACACAAGCAGACGGAAAAACCCTGCTAACTCTACAGCAACGAGCTGAGGTCAGGGTGAGCTGTGCTGACTGATCTCTCTCACTCAAGTGCTAAACATGAGCTACAGAACCTGCTTTATGTTGGCAGATGAAAGGTTGAAGCTGTACAGCTGCCCCCTGTCTGTGCCGACAGCTAGGGTCTCCTCTGCAGGACTGATGCACATAGTGTCTATCTGCTGACTCTGGGCTGGAGACGCATCACTGCAAGCTGGATCTGGAAGAATCTGATACAGAAAGATTCATCAGAAAGCAGAGTTCACCATCCCGATCTGTTTCAGTTCCAGACAGCAATGTTCACCTGGATCTCTCTGATTTTCCTATAAATATCCTCCTCCATCTTTTCAAACAAACAAACGGTGCCAGGACCAGTGGAGCACAGAAACCCCCTGGAGCAGGACAGGAGGGCAGTGATGCCACAGGGCGCCACGCCTTCTGTTGCATCTCCCTCTTTGATTCGCCTCACTTCCAGGTACCTGCAGAGTGAAGCAAAGCATTAGGGGGCTGATTCTGGAAACATTCCAGCTATGATTATCATGTGTGAAGTAAGGAATCTGAGTTGGAAGAATTTTCTTGCAAGATAATACTACATTTTATTTATTAATACTTTTTAAACCTTACACAACACATCCCCCCGAGGGGAACGAACCCATCCCCTGCATAAAGATCTCTCTTACACTTATTCCCAAGAAAAACACTTCAGTTGATCCAGGACATACATTTAGTCATATAAACATTTCAGAAAACTGTTTTCTGTTCACACCAGAAAAAGGATGTGAGAACCTTGAACACAGTAAGAACATGTTTATATTTCCCCCTTGTCTAAACTAGGGAGGAATCT